ATATTGATTTCCATGAAGTATTAGCATTTTTTCTTGAAAAGTAAGTTCGTGTCATGATGTCATTCTTTACTTCACATGTACAGCAGTCGAATCATACATAAGATTTAGATAACTGTAGTACATAATAAATAGGTGACAGAAAAGAGAAAGAGGTCAAAAAATAACATATTCACATTAAAGAGGTTATAATAGTAAAAGAGACCTAAAAAAAAGTGTTCATTGTGCAGAGAAAAGAGATCTTCACATTAGAGAGAGGTATTTTCAGCAAAAACCGATCCGGTGGACCAGAGACCATTCACAATTAGGTGTTCACTAATAGAGATTTTACTGTATTGAGAATTAGTACAAAAAAGAAACTTTATTTGTATGTTTCAAACTTGTTCTGCAATTCTTTTTTTTTTATTAAATTCTTACTTCTGTACCCTCTTTTACACTGATCTGTGGAAAAATGAATTTAATCAACAGAACTATTTTATTATTTGATCACCTGTGTTTTTCTTCCAATAGCATTTTCGAAGTTTTTAATTTGATTTTCACAGTCACAACGACTTTTTGATCAAATTTATTTTTCCACATATTCCTGAGGCGGGGAGACCAAACAGTGAGAATTTTGTTGAGAACAAAAAACTCTCAGAACAACGTTGATACATACATAAATATACTCAATTTGTTGTGCTCATTCCAACATAGGCGGCGGAACCATTAGGCTTCGGGAGGCTCAAGCCTCCCCTAAATTTGAATAATGAAGGTTTGGGGAGGCTGAACTTATTCTATTTTTCGGAAAGAATCTTAGACGTTATGATAAAAGGATCGAATAAATAAGTTCTTTCAAAAACAAAAGATGGAGGGTCTGTGTCGTTTTCAAAAGCATCACGTAGTTGAACAAGGTATTTTAGTAACTGAGAGTCGTACAAAAATCTTCACTATTAATAAGATGTTTTTACTAGAATAGCTTTTTTCGAGAAAGCTAAAGTTTGATNTTCAGTTAACTAGGTTTGTAGAGAAAACATTTCTGCATCTTTCGAGACGTGTCCGGACTCAGACGGACGAGTGATTGCAGAGAAAAATCCAAAATACCGAGAACACCCTAAAAATTCAGTTTTTTGACCAAGGTCAAACGACGTGTCACATTGTATAGTTCAAAACTTTTTACAGGAGAGGTATAAAGAGTTCATATTTTGGATTTATAAGGTCCTAACCATGGCCTATCGTTTCAGAATATCAAATCGAAAAGCTAAATTTTGAGTGGTACCGGCTCCACATAAAATTGATAGGTCCTCTCGCGGACCCTCTCTTAAGTTGGAACTTTAATTACGATACTTACATTACGATATCCCCAGTTTTCAGAGTTTCGAGCTGAAAATCTTAAAAACTTTACCAATATTATTTATAGACTTCTAAAACTTGTTAAGTCTGTGAAATTGCTTTGTTTTTCTGGAAAAACTTTTTTAACTGGAAGCTATGAAAATAGATTGGCCACAATCGAAAACTCACCTTAAAACTTTTTACGTTACGAAATAATAGAAGATGCAGGGCTACAGCCGATCGCGGCCGGGTCAGAAAATGTTGAATTAAATGTGCTGTAGTTGTCTGAGAAATATGTAATATGCGCTAGTCACCGACTACAAACAATTGGAAAAATATTTTGTGCAATCTGGAAGACTAACCAATATTGATTAGAAATTTTAATTAAGAATATCAAAGTATGATTTGGCTAGGTCCAACAAATTGGAACCTGATGAATTCTACCGAGGAACTTCTTTTACGGGTAGATGTTTAGTAGAGTATGTTAAAAATATCTGTTTGTTACATCCAGCTATTATTTATATGTGTAGACTATCCTGAAGTACAATTAAACGCTTATTAACTACTTGGAATTTACTAGAACCCCATTAGGATTCATTGTTATATTATGCATTGATAACATCACTTAATCCTACACAATTGTTCTTCCCATGCTAGAGCCGTTCGAAATATATGGTAATATTGGATAGAAATAGATGATTTAATTGCGTCGAAAATAGAGAATGATAAGCCCATGAAAAAAAAGACTAGATAAATGCTGTTCAAACTAACTGCTTTTCTCTTTGTTCTTCTTGCAGTCAAGTCTTCACATGTCCATGATAAACTAGTAAGAGCATTGTCCGTTACATTTATTTTGTCGATCAATGTTCGCCAGAATCCCAGATGGACAACAACTTGTAGTGCTAAATGCGGTTGTGTGAGGGTTGAGTGCATCGTAGAAATTGTGGTGTGCATCTAGACGGACATTAGGCGAAAAAACCAAAGTGAACCTTCTATTGATTCAAATAATGATAAATATACTTCGAGACATGCTCTGTCAAATTACACAAAAATTTTTGTTACGAATTTAACGTAGAGTGTAACCGAAATTCAAAAATTAGTCTGAAAACATTAATATCGATGAGAAAATCAAATTTTGACGAAAATAAATCATCTGATAGATACGAATAGTAGGTATTCTGCATTTCCATATTGTATGGTATCATTCATCAACGAAATTGTTTAATGTGAATATGGTGCTTTTGAGAAAAAAAAATGAAAGTTTTTCGTGAATTAATTTTCGAAATGGCTGAGCTCAATAAAAATGAATATGCGCTCCTTTCGCGGCAATCCAAATCTATTCAAACTGTGTCAAAATTTTCTATTCTATGTTCTTCATCACCGTAATTTGCATAAATGATTCTGAACCATACAGAAAGTTTTCCAAAAAAAGCCTTAATTTTTCCTCTACACTTCTTTTTATTCAGAATTCAAAGTATTTCTATTGAAAAATCATTAGTATACTCGGAGTCAACGCGCGAAACTCCATCGATGATATACGACACAGTACATTTTTTAACCAAAAATTATCTCGAAAAATATGATCAAGGATGCCCCTCAGGTATTTTTTACCGAAAAATTCTTTTTCTCAGAGTATTTTATTGTCTTAAAAGCGATTTTCTGAGTGCTGTACAATCATTGCTGAACAAAAGAAAATCGTTTCCAGGAATGAAAGTGACATGTTAGTTTGCCATGTGAAAAATAGACACTGTGTCTATGTAATCTACTAGACTGTTTATTTCTATAGTTTTAAATAAAGATTCATAGAACCTTGTACAGAATCCGATGGGACATCTTGTAAAGAAAAACTCAAGATTTTCTGTTTCGTCTGTGCTGAAATGTATGCGAAATAAATCATGTTGCAAACATTTTAGAACATCCGGTATATTTAATAAGGGCATTTCTTTTTTTAGATGAAAAAGTATTTCATACAATAAATTATTTTTAGAAAACATATTCTATTGTTATTGAAGGCATTTATCTGTTTTTCTCTCAAACAAAAAATAAAATCATGGTTTATTCTATAATTTATTTTTATCCATGTACTTAGTTCGAGTGTTCGTCTGTCATTGGGTCAATGGTCATAAGTCCAACGTCAAGCATGAAGGATAAAAATACGAGAATCAAGATTAAAATAAAAACAGAAGTGTAATCTACAGGAGAACTCGCTAATTGTCTATATAACGGATGGTGCAAAAGTTCTACTTTGATTTTGTTTTCAGTATAGCTTGACAACAACTTGTCATGGAAGGTTGATAGTTTTCTTGTTAGAAAAAGCAAAGTTTCTACTGCAAAACTGTGTAAGAATGTTTCGTTCAATATAATTACTGAAGACTGAAAAGTTTAAAGAATATGTTTAACTGAAAAAGTGTCTTGTAATTTCACACAAAATAAGTGATGAGAAATGCATTTGATGTATGTTTTTTGCACTCGGCTTTCGAAATAATTAGGCACACTATATGTATGAGTGTTGCTAATGCGATGCGGACTTTCTAATGGTGTCAACATATTTGAGTTAGAAAATCTTAAGTTCCATAGAAAAAATAGTTTTATTAAAAACTTGATTTTAGTCTCTCTAAAACGCTCAACGAAGTTTTTCTCATGTGTAATATTCTGTAATTACTGTAGTTATGAACATTTTTCGTTAGCAAAAGCCGATAACTTGAAAATTTTCTTTTTATCTATTTACAATGCTCTATCTTAGCGCTACAAAACCCAATAAAAGATTGAAAATAAAACCAACTTTCTTAGTAAATCAAGGTTTTCTTTTAAATTCAAGTAAAACATATTCTTAAAACGTTTAAGCTTTCGTTAAGTATTTTTTTACCAAATATTTTTATATAGTTTTGTAGTAGAGGCTCTTCTCTTTCTAAGAAGAAAACTATCAAGTCCCCACAAAACATGTTAACGGACTGACAGATTTTGGTTCAACCCGTCAAGTAGCTACTGGACCAATGATAAAATTCATTTCACCCGTGATGGAGGCCGGATTCGATCTCGAATAAATCAGGTAAAAAAACATAGTCAATAATATCTCTGATCTTTACGACGAGTTGTAGTCACACTATACTGAAAATAAAATTAATACAGAACTTGCGCAGCATTCGTTATAAACATTTTATCTACATTTATTTTTCATTATTATTAAGATAGGTAAATATTTCAACTCTATAACAAAAAAAAAAACAAAAAACAAATTAATTGAAAATTGTAGACTTCATAATGAACACAAATACATGCAGAAAAAAAACTCAATCTATTTTAATTTTTAATTTAATTTTCAGTACATTTAATGATTGTATAAACATTCTCGTATATTTATTTATTCTTTTTTCTTAAGGACATTTCACAATAGCGTAGTAACAGTCAGAATCACGCGACCAGTGTATGTATTTTTTATCCATTTTATTTCGAGATACGGACGTTTTTATGTGGACGTATACAGAAGAGAAAAAGAATAGACATGGTGCGTCTTGGAATACATACCATATTTCGTCCTTTGTTAAAAGAGAACGAGAAAATACGAAACATTTTCATTCATTTGTATTATCATTCACTCGTCGATATAACACATATACACTTTAGTTTAACCATCGTCGTAGCCAGTAACAAGCACTATTAACTTTTCGAATAGATTAATTAGCATTTTAGATACAATGTATTTACGTGGATGTGCAAGATCACGTGGTCGTCTCAGTCGATCAACAGTATCACGTGAAAATGGTGAGTTTTTCTTTTGAAAAATTAAAAAAAAATTTTGTTTTTCCCCTAGATTTAGTTTCAGGCGAAGGCAGTAGTATTGCTACTGGTGTTACAAGTCCAACACCATCGGTAAAAAAAGATAATAAATCGAACTTTCTATTAAACAATTTCAGACTTGTTATTTAGACACTATCAGAAATGACTACACAATTGGATAGTCTATCAATGGCAACAGATGATAGTGATCGTTATCCAACAACTTCAAAATTTCCTAAAACTCGTCCAAGTGATCTTAATTGTAAACAAGGTGAAAGTGGACAACAAATTGCTCTTGTTGCTAATTATATTAAAATGTTGGCTGCACCTAAATGTACGTTTTCTATAACTTTTTTTGATTATGTTCGTCTGATTTTTTTTTTTGTATCTTTATAGGGGATTTATATCGATATCATTGTTCATTTGAACCTATTGTAAGTTATTTTTCTATGAAAAATAAATTGTTAGATATAGTTATATGAAGTTTAGATTGAATTACGAAAAATTCGTCGTGAAACATTGGCTAAAGCTGGTATTAAAGATGTTGCCTTTGATGGAACACTTCTTTATTCTTTCGAAGATTTTGGATTGGTACTTATTTTTCTTTTTCTTTTATTAGAAACAGATCCTGCCGGATAAGATGATCATCTTTCATTTTGAAAAGTCACCTATACGGTTTTGTAGAGCAACTCGTAGCACATCGAATGGTACATAGAAAATTGTTTTTTTTCATCAAGTTTCTGAGAAACCATGTATCAGTTAAGGAATATTATAGCAATCATTGGTGACATTATCAAATATTAGTACTGAGTATGTCTCTAACTCAACCTATATCGAGTTTTTTTAAATATTACTTCAACACACTTTTGTCATGTCTTCAATCGTGTATATCTAATAGTTCTCATAATAACTTATCTGGTATCCAATGCTTCAGCATTGTTTCTAGCTTCTGCAATTTTTGGCTTTTTAAAATTCTTTGATACTGTCTCTGAGCGCAAAGACAAGTAACTGTATAATTTTCTCCGAAACTTTGTGTCTTCAAGCTCTAAAACAATATCAGTCTAGTCTCTGAATCGTTGTATATTATGGTCAAAATCGGCCAATCAATGCCCAATTTTTTGATTCCTAAGGATAGAAATATGTGAGTTTTGCAATAAATACTTTTTCAGTGACAAATGTTCTATCTATTAATAATAAGTTCATCATACCCTTTCATTTGACACGGATGAGTCTTTCGAAAATGGCAGAAAAATTATTCGCTTTCAAACTCCTGGATGGGGATATGAGAATGGCCTATTACAAAAATTAGTTTTTATTTGATTTTCGTACAAGTTTAAATTCTGACTAGCCATGTGGTTAAAGTATGGAGCTCTATTAGATTCAATATATGTCCAGTCTCTTCTGAAAATGAAAAATTTTGCATATCCTCTTCTCCAAGAGTGTGAAGGGAAATTTTTTTTTTACGATTCTCGGTACATCCATTTAGGTCAAATGATAGGGTATGATGAACTTATCAATCAATAGATATCATGTATCACATCGGCAATGTGACTATAATGTATAATAATCCAGAGACAAAACTGATATCGTTACAGAGCTTGATGACATATAATTTCTGAGAAAGTTGGACGGCTGATCGACTTTGCCTCCAGTGCAGTAACAAAGAATTGAAAGCATCATAAAAGCAAAAAATTACAGAACATTGTAAAACTGCTAAGGTTTTGGGTACGCAGAAATCTATTGTGAGCAGTATTATAATTACATGATTGAAGACAAGACAAAAACTCTATCGAAGTAACGCTAAGCAAAATTTTATATAGGTTGAGCTGGAGACATAATAAGTCCTAATATATGGCCAAATCATCAAGAATTGCTAGAATATCCCTTACCTGGTATATGGCTTTTCAGAAACTTGATGAAAAAGCAATTTTCTATATATCATTCGATGCACTACGAGTTGTTCTGTAGAACCATATAGACAGCTTTTTAGATGAAGGTTGACCATCTTATTTGGCAGAATTCTTTTGAATTACTATTTTGATTTTTTTTTTGTAGGAAAAAGCAGTTTCCTGTAAACATCCAGTTACTAATGAATCAGTTACAATTAAAATGAAACGTACGTCAACAGCTTCACCAGAATCACCGGAATTCTTTCATTTAGCTAATTTAATTGTTCGAAAGTAATTATATGAATAACTCCTGCTATTTTTATTTGTTTTTTTTTGATAGATTACTTGAAATTGCTGGTTTGAAATTACTTGGTCGTAATTATTATTCATTTGATAAAAAAATCGAACTTGATCGATACAAATTAACACTCTTTCCCGGATTTATGACTGCTGTTAATGTTTATGAAGGTTAGTTTAAGCCTACCTCACCCTAAAAAACCGATTTTTGGCTAAGCACATTGAAGTCGACTGAAATTTTTGGTTATATACCGTGATGTTCAAGGAAGATATAAAACAAGGATCTAACAAAGCCTGCTTAGCAACCCAACTTTCACTGATTTATATTTTCTTGTTTTTGAAAAATCATGTCAAGATGCAAGACCAGATAAAGCTGTTGTTTTTATAATTCTTAATTTTTTATGCCGAGGAAAAGAGTGACAAGTTTGATACTCTGCAAAACTCTAAAAGTAGTCATCTATTTATAGAAGTGTTCCTACAGGTAAAACAACCTAATGGAAAAAATATTCTGTTAAGTTCTGCATCGGGTACCTGCTTTTTTGAAAAAAAATTTATAGAATGCAGTTTCTGTGAGAATTCTGGATTGCGCGATCGAAAAGGCATAAACAGAAAAACGAAAATGTTTTCCCGGTTCTTTTCTGAACAAAAACTACGTTTTTCAAGCGAAAGATGACGGAAATCATTGAAAATTTTGAAAGAAAAAAAAAAACAAACCAAATAGAAAAGGCTTTTAGCGCAATACCTATGGCATTTCGAAGTGAAACAAGGTGTAGCTGCTCTTGCTAATCATAGGGAGATTGTTTTATTCTATCTACTTCGAAACACATGCCTCCACCATGATTCTTTAAAACTGCCCTTCCCTTCAAAAAGTCGATTTTTTGCCAAAGGCACGACTTTTGAGCTAAACATACAGAGGTGTGACCTAAGATGTCTACTTTAAATATTCATAAAAAACTTTGCAATTTTGAAAGGTTTCAAAGAGATGTTGTAAAAGTTTTGACGGATCTCTATGATAATATTCGTAAGCGAATCTAGGTAGAAACTGAAGAAACACTGGGTCAGTCCTGGCGCTATTAATTGTATGTGCTGCTAGGATCACAGTCCCACACACCTTGATTAATTTTAACGATTGATGTATGATATGGCCATATTTTCTGTTGATGTCCAGTGATAGCTAGATAAAATGTGAAAAGTATACTTTTGGGGTTTTTCTCAAAATTGGTTTTGATGCAAATTATTAAACAGTAGAAATTCTTTTCATCTATAGCTCATTATAAAGAGTTGCGATTTTTCTTTTATTTATTGACACATTTGATACTCCTTCGGATGAGGCAAAGGCATTTTTTAAATATGCTCTAGTTCTGCAGAATATCTTGTGTATGTGAAAAGTCTTGGGTGGTATTTTGCGATGTTTGGAGGTTTTTGGCTACCGTAAAATTGAAGAAAGCAACAATCAAAGATTCCCTTTCTCTCATCCGAAGGGGAAATAGTTTTCTTTCAAACAAAAACAATTCTCAATTTTTTATCTTGAAGGTGGGTGAAAAAAGCTTGCACAGCAGAAAGCCTATTTTAGGCGTTTATTTCTATAAAACTTCTGAACGCTGAGATTTGGCGTCGTAAAAAAATTTCGTAACTTTACTTTCATGTGCCCAACATTTGTAGAAAGTTTTATGGAAATCCCATGCCCTGTATCGAAAATCGATTTTGAAGTTGGGGAGCCAGTCTTAATTGAATCCTTCGAAAATGCAATAAGGAAGAGCATTTTAATGAATAACTATTCATTAAAAAAAATTTGCTTTATGTTTAGGTCAATTAATGATTAATGTTGATTTATCAACAAAAGTTATGAATAAACAAACAGTTTATTCAATTTTGATGGATAAATTTAATCGTATTAATGATACTAAACAAGCTCAAGATGCATCATTAAAAGAACTTGTTGGACAAATCGTTTTAACACCGTTCGTTATTTCTTTGCGCTTTTTGTCTTAAATATGAAATAGAATTGTTTATATTTTTTAGATATAATAATGAAACATACAAAATTCTTGATATTGCTTGGGATAAAGATCCAAATTTTCAATTTACTAAACGTGATGGTACACAACAAAGTCTTTGTCAATACTATCAAGAAGTACGTTTCAAATTGAATAAGTTCTTTTATTTTATTATTTTTTTGAAATATGATCAAGTGACTATTGAGAGATTTCGCCATGCAACTAACGGCTTACATGGTATTATTATGAAAGAAAATTGAATTTAAGTTACTTGTTTTCGGTTCCTAATCTAAGCCTGCTGTAGTATAATGTGCTTAACATATTTCATCACGATCATATGAGCACGTTGAAAATCCCGAATTAAAGCATATGGTGGAAAGTCCCTTGATTTACAATATATGTAGAAAAGGGTGCTTTGAGTTCACATTTTATTGAAACCAGACCTGATAATAAATTGAATTTTAAACTCGCGTCCGGATCTGAAAGAACCCGCAGCTCCATTGTGTTTCACACAAAACTTCTGCAAGAATTTTTGCAAATAGTTTTCTTTTTTGTTATTTTTAGAAATATCATGTCAAAATAAAAGATGTACAACAACCGTTAATAACTGTTAAAGGAAGTAAACGAATGGCTAAACGTGGTCCGAAAAAAGAAGAATCAGGAGTGATTTTCCTAATTCCAGAATTATGTTGTATTACTGGTAAAAAAAAAAATTTTTTTCTTAATATTTATTATTTTATCGAATATTGTTTTGTACAGGTATTTCGGATTCAATGAGACAAGACTTTTCATTAATGAAAGAAATGAGTACTTATACACACGTAGGACCAAATGAACGATATCAACAATTAAATGGTTTTCTTAATGATATTCAAAAACGTGATGAAGGACGTAAAGAATTAAGTAAATGGCAAATTAATCTTGATAAAGAACTTGTTCAACTTACTGGTCGTACAATGGAAGCTGAATCAATTATTTATAAAGATGTATTAATATATTTATTTCAAAATCGACAACACTTTCTGTTTTTGTTTTATTTCAGCGTACAATTAAATATAATCCATTGGAAGCTGATTGGTCTCGTGATGGTCGTTCTTTAGCACATCTTTCAGCTAAAAATCTTGATAAATGGATTGTTATTTATTCTCAACGTGATTCACAAGTAGCTCATTCATTTGTTGATTCTCTTTACAAAGTTTGCACACCATTCGGTTAGTTTGTTTTTTTTTTATTTTAATTTTTTTTAATCTTTTTCTTTTTCTTAGGTATGCTCGTTGATTTTCCTGAAATGTAAGTTTTAAATTTGTTGAAATATTCATGTGTACATTTTTAATTAAAAAAATCTTAGGATTGAATTACCAAATGATCGATCTGAAACATTTATTCGTGCTATTGAAAATAAAGCTCATCCACAACTGGATTTGGTTTGTTGTATTTTGACAAACAATCGAAAAGATCGTTATGATGCAATCAAAAAAGTTTTATGTGTTGATTGTCCTGTACCATCACAAGTACGATTCCTTTTAAACCCTAACACGACCATCTTTAAAACTACTATTTATTGTGCATCTGGGATCTGTGCGAACTCCAATGAATAGAAAAAAATATAATACAAGAAGTTGTTACTACTTTATTATAGATATGAGAATACTCTAGTGAACACTTAATCACCAGAAAAGCAATCAAACCGAGGTAGTTTGCAGTGTTTTATCCACATTTTCTCTTTTAGAGGAACTATTTAAACGTACAAGAGGATGAACACCTATTTTTAGACGCATAGTCACGTAGTATGTAGCACAAAAATCACCAACTCCAGGAAGATTAACCTAGTCTTTGCCGACGTGCCGCCTCTGACGCTATATAAAATCATGCGTCATGTTTCCTTATTCAAGTATAATTTGAACTGCTCTATCAGACGAAGAACCTCTACATATGATTGACCAATGTTATCAGTGTACTGTACTAATCAGGCAACTTCCTCAGATATTTCCTTGTGTTTTCAATTGTTTTTTGCTTATAGATACTACGTAGGGTTCTAATACAATCTTAAAGAGGATTTCGGTTCCTATCGAGATTTCATTAAGTTATCGAATTTTTAATATGCCTATTTTCTGAATCCCAGGTTTTGGAGAACTCGTATTCTCAAATTTTGATCTGAAACTTTGTACAGATAGAGAACTCGACTAGACTAGCTTCGATAAGAAAATTAACACGTTTCCAACAAAGTCTCTTCGAGATATGAGAGTTTCAAGATATAAACCTAGATTTATGGATAGTATATACGGTATGCTTTTTTTTGGAAAGCTTCATATCTGGAGAAGCCATTGTTTGAAAAATTCTGAATTTTTTGATGAAATCTGGTCTAGTTAAGTTCTCTATATGTGCAAAGTTTCAGATCAAAACTCGAACATACGATTTTTTGCGAAAACATAGAGTTCAACAGAGACTTGGAGAAAAAAATATTAAAAATTCGATAGCTTAGTCACATCCCAATAGGAGCCCAAATCCTTTTAGAGTTTTCATTGAAACACCTTATAGTATTTGTGGACAAAAAATCATTGAAATTACAAGGAAACATCTGAGGAGATTCTGTCGTAAGTGTGCCCAATGCATAACAGTACCATGAAACCTATTGGAGTCCGAATGAGTCTCATGTAATCAGCAGTCCTCGCCAAAGTATATTCAGAAGATGAGCGAAATCAAAAGATTTTAATCGCTTTTGCTTTCTCTATAGATGCTTTTATCAAAAACATTACAAAAACCAGGACAACTAATGTCAGTTGCAACTAAAGTTGGTATTCAAATTAATGCCAAATTAGGCGGTGAAATATGGGCTGTTCAAATTCCGGTTTGTCTTTTTCTTATTCTTTAATAATCAAGTAACTTTGATTTTTCTTTTTGACCATCATAGTCAAAAACTATAATGGTTATTGGTATTGATACATATCGTGATTCTCAATCACGTTCATCTCAAATGATTGGCTTTGTTGCATCAATAAATCCGACATGCACACGCTATTATTCACGTGTAATTGAACAACGAAGTAGTAAAGATCTCATAACAGGATTTAAATCATGCATGCAAAGTAATAAAGAAATTTGTTGTTTGTTTTTCTTAATTGATCTTAATATTTCAAAATACAGGTGCCCTTCAAAAATATCATCAAGTCAATGGTATGCTACCAGCAAAAATTATTGTTTATCGAGACGGTGTTACTGATTTTCAATTATTTGATGTTATTGAAAATGAATTACCAGCAATAAATGAAACTTGTATGAAAGCTCAAGAAGGTTATGAGTAAGTTTTGAATTTACTTACAAATTTATTTTTCTATTTTGTGACTCACGATCTAAAAGGAGTGTTGAAATACATAAAGTAGAACTCTGTATCTTGTGCTCTTCTCTACTGACTATGCCAGACACCTTAGCAACACCCTACCTGTGCGAGAGGGTGATAATAAAGTTGTAACTGGTCTGGTTCGGTCAAAGTTTTTACCGATTGGAAAATATTTTATAGACACATCATTTTTCTTTGATAATGCTCGTTGTAGTAATAGTTGGGTTCGCTAAGTTCTGAACTCTCGGCACTTTCAAAAGTGCAACTTCACTTACGAATCTTTTCCAAGGTTTTGGTTGTCAAAGCATAAGTTTTCAGCTCTCTGCGTCTACAATTAGACACATATTTGAGTATCTACGAAAGAGATTGCACCGTATATTTGTCATCTCTTCCTGAGTTCTGGATGTAAGACATCACTGCAACTTTTTAATATTAGTGGACAAGCAAAACGTGATGATGCCAGTTTAGTTTGAAATATCAAAGTTGATCTATTAGGTACGTTTCAATAGATTATTGGGTTGTCATGTTGGGATTTGCACTTTTGAGAGTTTTCTGAGTTCAAAACTCGTGGAATCTGGACATGTTTCACTTGTTGAGAGCTCTTATCAAAATACTCAAAGTTTTGTTTCAAGAACTATTAGTTTTATTTTCTTCTGTTGGTTCACATTGTTTTATTTCTTAATCGAAGTACATTTCATTTTCTTTTAAAGTACAATCAAAACTGTGTCACTCGAGCTAAAAGTATATCATATATTTATTGGTAAAGATCCATTTTAGATTTGAATCTTTGCTTGTTAAGACACTTTGGGTTTGTCTAAAAATACTGAGTGAGAAAATTTAGGATTTGTAGTTTAGCAATCAGTTAAGAGAAAATGACTCTTTTCTTCGCGCTATATATAGAAATATCAGATATTCATATTTGAGAAACCTAACAGATATAAACAAATGTAACATAATAGATCTATCTGGAGACTTGTAAAAATCTGGATGCAGAAAAAGCGAATGAACATTTTTTGAAACCATTCTCACTAACTGACTAATATTGATCCATTAAATCGGCCGAAATAGTTAAAAAATGCTCGATCAGTTACAACTCTGATTGCATATATCAAGAATGAAGTACAAGGATGGTGAAGGGATAGGTCTCAAACTAGATAGAATAAAACAATATGTGATTAGCAAGAACAACTATATAGTGTTTCACATTTTAATTTCGCATGGATTGTGCTAATAACTTCTATTTTTAGTCCAAAACTAGGTATGATTATTGTTAAGAAACGTGGAAGTGCTCGATTTTTTGCCCGTGATCCACGTAACAATCGTCAATTAATCAATCCACCACCGGGTACAATTATTGATCATACTGTTACTAATCAAGGTATTCTCTATTGAAGTTTTTTTAAAATAATGTAACGTTATAAAATGAATTTTATAGAATGGTATGATTTCTATTTGATATCCCAAATGGCTCGTCAAGGTACTGTTGCACCAACACATTTCAATGTTATTTGGGATCGAACTGGGTTTGTATAATCTTTAGTTTATTCTTAAATCGAATTAATTTTCGTTTGTTATTTTAGATTAAAGGTTGATCATATGCAACGATTAACACACAAATTATGTCATTTGTATTACAAGTTAGTTGTTTATGTTTTTATTTCTTTTGATTAATTAATTTTACTTTTTTGTTTAGTTGGCCTGGTACAATTCGAGTACCTGGTGTATGTCAATATGCTCATAAATTGGCTTTTCTTGCTGCTCAAAGTTTACATACTCAACCACATGAAAGTTTAACAGATAAATTATTTTATCTTTAGAAAAAATAGTATGTTTATGTGATTTTCTTTTCTGAAAAAGTTGATTTAGTTTGTTTTTTATGTTGTTTGATTACTTTTTTCTCTGCAGACATAAGTCTATATGATTTTCATTCTGATGAAAGTTTTTTTTCTTTGTTTGATTTTTTTCTATGACTGTTGTATTCATGTTTTTCTTTTGTATCGCTTATAGATTGAACTAGTAGACAAAGATATTGCTCTGTTTCTTTTCTTTTCTTTCCTACTATGTTTTGTTGAAGGGAATCGAAAAGGATTAATAAACAAGAACTGAACATTCGCTTAGAAAAATATATAAACAGTGTAAACCTAGAAGAATTCAAGTGCAGATTAGGTTTTCTAATAGTTATGTTTGTTAGACGTAGAACAGTTGATTCTTTGAATATGGAAATACTCTAAGTCTATATAGAACTTCACATGAATCTAGAACTGTATTGCAGCATAGTCAAGCACTACAGAATTTCATTTTTTACATTGTAACATATATATTCTCATCAACAGTAAAATTAAACTATTTGAAACTATTACTATAGAGATCATTCACACTATCGACGAAAAGTAGCGATACCAGCTAAAAATAATCAAATCCCTGTTCATTAAAACTGAAAATTTTATCACAAATAGAACTTAGTAAGCCTTGATTCTAGACACCAATCTACATTGAATAGGATGAGAAATAACGAAGTTATAAGTCAAACAAAATTTTGACCTTGGGATACACGAGTCTCTACCACTCGAGATTGTTCGTTTGTGCAAGAATTCTCATTTGTTAGCTAGGTATCTAGCCTTTCTATCGTCAAGGTTTTTGTCTAAAATCATCTTTGTTCTATTGAATTCTATGTTTGTATTTGAGAATAGTTTGCCACAAGCATATTAATGCTTACAGATCAATTGACTATAACTAAAGACAGATTTCAGGCGTTTTTTCTGAATTTTCTTTTTGAAGAATGTTTAACAGCCGAAGAAATGTTTCTACAAATTTTAGAGTGATACCTGTTGCTAAACAGAATTTATTGAAGAAACTTGATGTCAATAGTGCAAGGCTTATTACACATCGGGATCTGAATTCCAGACAAACATTCAACTCAAAAAAGTCAAAAGTTATGTTGAAAAAAGTTTTGGTTGTGTCATCAATTGAAAGTTAAATTTTGATTGATAAATGAAGTACTAAGTGTCTAACATCTAATATAGAAATAGCCCTGGAATTTTTTGAGATCTCGATATATAATGAACGTTGCAGTGTTGATATCAAGCTTCTTCGATAACTTTTGTTCAGCAATAGTTATCACTCTCTCATTTGCAGAAAAATTTCCTCGACTTTTGAAGACTGGTGAACAAGAAATTCAGAGAAAATGAATGTAATCTAGCTGGGTTATATATAGTAAGCTTAACTAAAGGCATTGATATGCATGTGACAAACGATTCTCAAATACAGACATAGAACTCAACAAGACAATGATGATTACGCACAAATGAAAGTACTCAGATGACAGAGATAGGAGTGTCCTGTAACCGAAGTAGTATTTGACCCATAATTTCATTATTTGTCATTTTATTGAGTCCGAGTTGGTGTCTAGCAGTAGAGCCTTCTAAGTTCTATATGTGATAAAAGTTACAGTTTCAACGCTCGAAGTTTTAATTACTTTTACTAGGTATCTCTACTTTTGACCAGTAGCCTAGATCTACCATCAGTAAAAGTTTCATTAATTTTCCTTTAGTTCGAACTAAGCTATTTAGAAAATATCGACTGTGACACAATCTCAAAAAGACTGATGTGTTTTTAGTAGATTTGAGAATTTACATTTTACGATGAAAAGCAGCGACATAAAAATATACTTTATATATAAAAGTTGTTCCGCTTTTAACAAACTCAGAACAGCAGACCATTTCTTAGCAAGAATTACTGCATGAAATAACAAACTAAATATAGTGTTCGTTACGAAATTTCATCTTTTACCTGTAAATCGCAGTTTGGGTCAGAGTGAAAGCAAAAAAAGTCAAAATCAATCAGATATTCATTACCAACATCGGATTTTTCGTCAAATGGTGTATTTTTCAACTTCTTCGACTGAAAAAATTTTCGAGAACAATAAATGTTTTACTTTTGGACTAACTAAATAGTCTGTTTTGTTCAGAATTCGATGCTAATGCCAAATATATCCAAAGGATTGAAATCACATTCTTCAAACATCGGTTAGTTGTTTTATCGATAGATTTACAAAGTCATTATATCCGATAGAAAATAACTACATAACAAATTTCTTTTGTTTGTATTCATTTCAGAAGATCATCAATGAAAGTAGGTTGTGAGTGTGGATGTTCTTCTTTCGGAATTACCGTTAGTTTTGGTTAGCCATTGGTTCGCACTGAGACCCAATATAAACAGAAGACCAAATAGAACGACAAAAAGTAAAGTAGAAAAAAATGCAGAAGAATGACTCATCAGTCAACAACGCTCATTTGAACCATTCCAATGAAAGAAGATGAGTTTCAGTAATAATTTGGTGCAATTGATTGTTTTAGGAACTTTCGAGGCTCTCGATATTTCGCTCTTTGATCTTATTTCCTGCGAGAAATTAACACTCTTCTCTTCTTGTGTATCCCCATCCACACCTTTTTTCGATGTCGACTTTTCTACGGCACATCATTAATACACTACTCATGCAACTGGCATTCCATTGAAATATTATAGAAAATATCGTAAGATGTTTATTATGAAATTTAGTTTTGGTCCCTTAAAAATGATAATATATATAGAAAAAGTCTGTTTAATTTGAGGAAAATAAAATCAATAATTAATTAACTAAGTATAGTTTGTTCCGGAGTACGATGTCCATGCGAATCAATAGCCGACATTTCATCTATTTGTTTTATGTGAAGTATTTGCTTGAAATCCTACAAAGATAAAAACAAGAAAATATACAACAACAAACATATTTTAATAACAATAAAATCTAACCGGTGCTCGATATTTGCAACAATTAGCAACCATATCTGCGATTACTGGATGATTAAGCAATGCAGATAGATGAATCTTTGAAGAACGATCAATTTGCATTTCATCCCAAACAGCATAAAGACGTTCCTACAATCAATTGATTATTAAACAAATAATATCATTTACAAAACTAATCTAACCTTTGAAGCAAAATCTTCTGGATCTTCAGTTGTAGCAAATCGATGTGTATCACCAAATTTACGTTCACCATGATGTAAAACCTATTGAATATTAATAATAATAAAAAAATCAGATCAATATTAATGAATGTAACTTACATGATGGAGTCCATCAACTGAAATAAATCCATCATTTGGTGTTTCAATTTCGCCTTCTTGTATTTGTTCTCGTTCTCTTTCTGTTAATCGTTCATATTCTTGTGTATTCAATATAGCACAATGCATATCAATTTGTGGTAATTGCTCTTTTAGTGTAGGCATAACTGTTTGTTCAGCTATCGTTAATGCTCGACAGAAACCATGTAATGGATTAGGTACAGCAGCCATATACAAGAGCATATCTTCATAAGGTAATAGTGATGCATTGTCGTCAAGGGCAAATAAATCGAACCAAAATTGTTTTAGATGATGTTCACGATTGTAAGGACGTGGTAAAGATGGATCTTCAGGTGTTGAAGCACGTTCCATTATAAACCAAAGTGGAATCTAAGAAAAAAGTTGTTAGTGCAACCTCTGCAGAATTATAAATGTGAAAACGATGTAGCTGCTGTTGTCAATCACAGGAAGATTATTTTTTTTTTCTGTCTATTTTGGTACACATTTCTTCCTAATGTTTTTACTTAATCTTTCAGAAATGCAGTAAGGAAGCACTTCATCTATTAGAACAATGCATTATTGATATAAGACGGTTGATCGTACATCAACAATTTCTGTGACGAAGAAGGGGCATGTTGCTAAAGTATTTGTCACTATCTGCGACGGTCTCTAACCAATGTCTATCATGGTCTGTGATGGATTGTCAAGATGTCTGTCATAGTTTGTGGGAAAGAGAAGAAGCGGCGGGATGTAGGTTTGAATTTCTACGTCTGTATTTGAACACTTCTTTTTGATCATGTTTCACAGAATATAGTATGTATACATGAAAAGTACCAAAGATCTAAAGAATACCTCATTGAAAGTTGTACGAGAAATAAAGCCTGAATGATCAGTATCATGTTCAGCATAGGTGAAGAGAAGATTGAGCAATTCTTGTTGAGTAGGATGAGGCCATGGTTGTGAAGCAAATAAAAGCCATAAACGCCAATTAATGAATTCAGAACCATTTGAAAGCATTGTAGCCAATGATTCAATCTAAAATTTTCAATAATAATTTAAATAATATTAATATTTTGTAGACGTACTTGTATTTGATCTAAATTCGACCATGCTTCAGGTAAAAGTCGTTGGCCTACAGTGACTGTAGTCAGATCTGAGTATAAATCAATAAATGTCTTCGTTGAGAGAAGACCGCTCGGTGCAGTTAATATAAACTAAAATTTTTAGAATTCGTTTTGTCAATAATCTTTTTCAAATAAATTTATGTCTCACTTGTTTGAAGAGTTCTCTCAATTGATCGACAGTAAATAGTTCAGACGTTGTTTGTTCTAAAGGTAATGGTCGAGGTGGAAGTACTGGTGGTGGAGCAACAATAACATCCTATTAAGAATTTATTCATTATGATTTGTTTTTGTCGAAAAAAAAAACGAAAGAAAATTTATTTATTTACTTCAGCAATATAGAATGCATATCTATCAAGAACGAGTTGTTGTTCAATTTTTTCTTTTGATTCAATTGCATATCGAATTATTTTAGACATATTCTCAATGCTTTCAGTTTCTTGTTTATATTTTTCACCAAGCCATTCATACATACGTGTATATGTTTCATCAGCTTTGGTTTTTAAACTTGTAATAGCACGAGAACCAACATCACGAATGAGCATTAAACGTGCTTGACAAATACGTACTAATAACAAATAAAATAAACATTTATCTAGTTTCTCATCAATATTATTTATGTAAAAGTATTTACATTTGAAAAAAAAATTATTCCTAACTTCATGAGACTTATATCCTGCTGATCAAAATTGAATAGAGCACTCCATCCTTATGTGAAGAATGAATGCAAAGAAAAGATTTGTTTTTTTTTTAATTTTGATCGGAAGTATATACTATTATTAAATGAGTAGATTTGAAAAACATATTTTGAATTGAAAAAATAACAGCCAAATAATATCTTACCTTCGTTACTAAGAGCAGCTAAATATTCTTCTTTCATTTTAGTTCTTAATTCTCGTTTAGCCAATTCTTCAGGTGTCACTTCAACTAAACCTAAATATAATAAGATTTGATTAATACATTTCTTTTGGCTAAAATCAATAGATTGGAATGATCACTAATTACAAATCATATTTTTCTTTTGCTCACAATAAAATAATTCAAATAAATTGATATTACAATCAAGTTTTACTTATATATATATCATTAGACATACGTACTTTCCACAGGTTGTTCATCTGCTTTCTTTCCTCCTTTTTTGCCACCTTTTCCTGCAGAATCTTTTCCACCGGCACCTTTTTTATCACCTTTGACATCTTTACCACCACCTTTAGCATCTTTGCCACCAGCACCAGCAGGTGCAGCAGCACCACCTGCAGCTGCTGCATTCGCCGTTGTATCTATTTCGGCATTAGCTTGTTCACTAGTAAGCTACAATTAAATATGAAAAACAATTCAAATTATCAATTTTAATAAAGAAAAACAAACCATATCATTAACATATTGAGTAGCTAAACGATGACCATCAAAAATAAGTCGTTCATCCATGTCTTCTGGAGGTGGTGGTGATGGTTCACCAGCATTAGGATCATCGGCACGTTTTTTAGCTGCTGCAGCTTGAGCTGCACGTTTCTTATTATCAGTTGTATCAAATGCTGATAATGGTCGACGAGGTACCATAGGTAATCTTTAGAAGAATATAGGTATAGAAATTAAATATTATATTCAATTTTATCTTACTTAGGTTTAATATTTTTCATCGACGGATCTTGCCCAGGTGATTGTGTAGTTGCATCAATCGATTGTTGAGCTTCTTTATCTTTTTTTCCAGCTGGTTTTCTTCCACCTTTTGGAGATTTCGGTGGTGATGGTGTTCGTTTACTATTTTTACTTGCTGATGAAGCTCGTTTGCCTTTTTTTGGTGTACCAACTTGAGAAGATGCTTCAAGATCAATATTACCAGTTGCTGAACCAGGTGGTTTTGTTGAATCATAATCAACAAGACTTTCGGCAACTGAAGCTGGACGTTCTCCTCCTTCCATTAATTCAAATAATGGTAATCGTGCATAATCTTGTTTCATTTCATCAGGTATTGGTTGTTGCATTGATTTATAATAATCACGAAGCATACGTAATGCATCTTGATATCGATCAATTTCACTCTATATTAATATTTACAATGATTATTTGCAAAAAAAAACAAAAAATGAACAACATCATTTTCCTAACCTGCATCAATGTTATATAATGATTTGTTAAAAGACCTAAATGATCTGAAACCCATCCATCAGTCATAACTATTTCTCGTTCTTTTTCAGATTCTTCTTTACGTTGTGAAGCTATTTCATGTAAAGTATCGCTTAAATCTTCTACACGTTGATGAAGTTCTTGTTTAAATTCTTCATCATCACGTGCATCATCTGGCAATGCATTGAACTCCTATAATTTCGATTTGTTTTTTGTTCGGAAAGATTATTTCAAATACAAAACAAATAATTACTTTAACAAAAATATCAACGTATTCTTGTTTTGCATCAGGACGATCAAGAAAAATTTTAAAATTGACTTTTGCATTATAAAAATGATCGACAAGATGAGAACGTTCAAAACGAATATTACGAAAAACAATTTTGCATGCATCTATGTAATTTGATTCGACTGCATCATAATAAGTTGAAAGGATAATAGTAATTTCCTTCACGAAAAAAACAAAAACAAAAAGAAATGGTTAATAATAAATAATGAGAATATAAAGCTATTTTTACAGGATCGATAGGTTCTTGAACATAGACCCATTCTTCAGAACCAGGTTTCGGAGGGGGTGGTCCTTGAGGTTCTGATGGAACTGTTCCAACTGTTGGTATTGGCTCTTCTTCTAAAGAAGTTTTAAAAACAAAGAAAAATTATCATGCTAAAAATATGTTTAGAATTAGTTTTTTACCTTTTTTACCCTTCTTACCAGCCGGTTTCGGACTACCTTTCTTTACAGCACTAGCAGCTGGTGATCGATCTTTTTTGCCACCTTTGCCACCTTTTTTAGCTGCTGCTTCTGAAATATTAGGAAAAAGAATCAATACGAATCAAACGAAAATATTGTAAATATGTTATAATAAATAAAAATAAAAATGCAAACGAAGCAAAACTATGAATAATTAGTCACTTTCAAATGATTTGTTCGAATGAACAGAACTGTTCTTTTTACGATAATTCTTTCTTTTTTTTTTATTATTTTTCTTTTCATTTTGTTTAGATAATGGTCTTGATCTTCGTTTAGAAGAATGATTAGTTAGTGATTTTGACATTATTACACTATTATTTTCTACGAAATGAAGTTTATGATTAATTGAAATACACGCGATATTAATCAAGTTTGATAAAAAAAAAAGAATAAAATAAAAAGACATACCAGCTTCAGCAGCTTCTTTAGCGGCGCGTTCAGCAGCAGCAGCCTATAAGAAACAAGAACTATATTTTATAAAATTTAAAGATTATAACATACAGCTTCTGCTGCTTCTTGCGCTTTAGCTGCTTCTTCTTCAGCTCGTCGTTTAGCTTCTAATTCTTCTTGTTCTTTGGCTAAACGTTCATTTTCTGCTCTTTGTCTTTCTTCTTCTGCTTGACGTATTTTTGCTTGTTCTTCATCAACATGTGTTTCAATAGCTCGTGATAATTCATGATATAATTGTTCTTCATCTAATGGTGTATCGGATTTTATTTCATCAACAACAACAACTTTTGAATATTGAGAATAGAATTTTTCTATTCGAGGATATGAATCTTGAAATTGTGATATACGATGTTGTAATTGTTCCATGTCATTAGCTGCATCTTTTGTTGGAAATACTTGTTCTTGTCCATTAAATCCTGTTGCAGCACCTATTGGAGGTGAATTATATTGTTCATGAAATTCTCGATTGGCTAATGGAGCAACTAAAATAACATCAAATTGATTTATAGCAATGAGTTTATTATTGAAGGCAATTCGAAGTAGCAACGGTGACACTTTAATACTATATAGAGATATTGAAAAAACTTTCTCTCTTTGTGCACTGGTATTACAAGCAATACTCTGTATTTCTGTTGTATTCCATCATTCATCTATTAATATCATCATTATAAAAAAGCGACTACGTTTTTTTTTTGGTGATTTTTTTACCACAGAACGGGATATATGTAGGCTTTTAGAAATAGACTTTCTCTATCTAATGGTGTTTATATTATCAGGTTCTACTGTGTACTATTGACATGTCAATAGTGGAGGCTGCCTTCGTAGCATTCTAATGTCCGCAAAGAGGATGACGCCATATATGTTGGCATGTTCAAGAGACGCAGTAGAACCTGATAATGCATACATCAATAGATAGAGAAAGAATATCCCTACAAGCCTACATATATCGCATTCTGCAGTCAACACCTTATAGTCAGCTTTCGATAAGATGTGTTGGCAATGATATGTAACAATAACACTAATGGTTATGTGAAAGACAAAAAGGAGAGTGGATCATTTTTGAATAACTTTTAATGGAAACAAGAGAGAGAACTTCAGTTTTTACCGTTGGAAAGATTAGATGAAGATGAATCGAACTGCATGTTACAATTCTTTTTTCACCTGTTCTTTTGAAATTTTTTCAATCAATCTTTTTGAAAATAAAACTTCTTCATCAAGTTTTTACGGTGATTTTTTTATTATCAGAAGTGCATTAAAACTATCAATCAAATTACTATGATATTAGTTGACGAACAATGGAATACTACAGAAATATAGTGTTGCTTGCACTACCAGTGCATAAAGAAACAAAGTTTCCTCAAGCTTTCTATATGATATTAAAGTACCATGGCCACTACTTTTAGATTGTCCTAAATAGATATATTTACATGAACGACCAGCTGCACGTCGAATAATTATATCATTAGTGACATGAAAAAGAACAACAAGATCAATAATTGATTTATATGGTTCAGGTGGTGGTGTTGGACGTGGATTAGGTGCCAAAAGAGGATCAAACTCTTTTGGACGTTCTTCTTCATAACCTGATAATACATTTTCGAGTAATTTTACTTGTTCATATGTTGTTGGAAATCCATCAATAATCCAACCTTCACGATCTGGAATTCGTCTATTTTTTTTTTGTGAATGAAGAAAGAGAATAAATAAAGAATTAATTTTTATAGTTCAATCTCATACCGAAGACGTTCAGCAATAAGTTGTACAGCCATACGATCACTTAATGATTCACCGAGTTTCATTGATTGAACAATGATCGAGCCAAGTTTAGCACGATCAGTAAGCTATAAACCATACAAAGAATAATTTATTGAGTAGTTTTTTAAATTAATCTCACGCACTTTATCCATTCGATTTTTCTTGTTATTCAATTGTTCAGAATTCATAGCATCGGTAAGATCATCAAGTGTAGGTGGTGGCCCTGGCGGATATTCACCACCAGTTGTATCTTAATAATATTAGAAATTAAATTGAAATATAATTAAATAATATTTGAAACATAAATAAGCAAAACTAGCGCATTTACAAAGTTGAAAATAAAAAAGACCTGAGATAGAAGTGTTCGATGGAATATTGTACAATGTAGGTGATTGTTTTAGTTTCGTTTTCTTCTTATTTTTATGAATTTTTTTCTTTTTTTGTCTTTTCTTAGCATTATTATTCATATTGAATGTATGATAATTAGTAGTGAATGTTTGTAAACATAATGAAAAATTACGATTGTCTTCTGTTTTTTTAAATATATCAAAAATATCTTCATTTTCAATATTTATATAATACTTTAAATTTTTATCTAGATTGGTTTTCTTTTTTATGTGAACAATATATTGAAGATAAAAGTTACCTGTTTGATCAATTGATGGATTTCCATGAGAAATAGGAACATTATCATGATCCATCTTTGTTGAATATTCCATATCAGTGTCGTCCGTCTAAAATTATAAATAATCTTAACTATTTATAATGTGTGCATGTATGTATATGTACTGACTTCATCATCACGTATTTCACTATTATTAAATGCTTCTATAGCTTCATGTAATAGCTGTTCAATGTTAAGAATCGTTACACCAGTTTCTAGAAAAGTCAGATATTTTCAAATATATAAAAATCAATTATTATACATTTCTAAACAAAATCATACAAATGCTATAATTCATATCTTAGACACCCTATACATTTATTGTACCCGTTGATACAAAGCTAAAGCGAAGACATATCGTTCGAGAGCCAAGCTATTGTAAAATATGATTTGAAAGGAATGGCGCAGTATAGGGGCAAATATTTTAATTCTTCACAGACTGTAACATACATCTTAACAACATTCCTCTCGTGTCACAGATGTAGATATAAGATTATAGACTGTATATCAATAGCGCCTCTTGATAATACATGTACTACTTACTTTGTTATTGTATTTTTGAAAAACTAAGTGAAAAGATGATGAAGAAATATATACCGAAATAGATACAATAAAACAATCTCTCTATGATTATTAACACCAGCTAGATTGTGTTTGGCATTTCCATTTCGCAGAGATTGTGCTATTTTCAAATGTGTGTATTTCGGAATTTCTCATTGAAATTCTTCATCTTTTAAGTGTAAGTTCAATCATCACACAGTAAATCTTTCATATGATTTTCGAATTTTAGCCTTTCTTTTCGGATTGTAGACGAAGTCTATTGACTGCACTATCGACTAACTATGCATCAAACCCAAACTTCGGCTCATGCAGTGGCAGACATTTAGTTAATTGCCCAAACATTTCTTGACATATATGAATCATCATGAAAGCACTCTATGGCAAAGTTCTCAATTAAGTGGGCTTCTCTTCTCCCCAAAATGTTCGACTTTCTGCCAATTTTTTACAAATTCGTGATGATTTTGGACATTAACAGAATATTGAAATACTATTTGTCTTTTTCCGACAGAAAATGAAATTAAACATAAGGAGACAAGGTCGTCTGTTGTAAGAGTGGTCGGGTCACCATAGGTTTCATTTTTCTTCCTCCATATCATCATTTCTAACACTCCAAGGACGAAAGCATTTTTTGTAGAATTATTAGTCCCTCCTGTCTCCCATAAAACATCGACAATCGTACCCTAGGGTATAAATAAATTTAAATTCAGGTATTTGGAAAGATCGTTGGTGTATTTCTAGGATAAATGTGACTCTTCAACTATTAGATCCAATTTTTCATTATGTATAGATTTGGCATAGCTAACGCTAAGATCCTTGTTTTTGTCTCAATTCTATCCTCATTTATGCCATAACTGAATTCAAGACTAAATCAAAACAGTTGGAGCTGGCACATGCTTATTGTCAGTATCTCGAAAAACTGTTTATTCATCTTAGAATTACTTCGAAAACGAATTTTCTTGTAGCTTTCGAATTACTACATGTTCGATAATTTGCCTCGATCTTGCCTTTACAGTATAAAAGACTGCCAGGCTCTATGTATAACTAATCAGAATATATGAATTGTTACATTTTCTGTGCTAAACTTTTAAATAAACAATAATTACCTTCACCATATCGTTTAATTGCAGTTGATTTACCAGCAAAAGATTTTCCCAAAACAATAATTTTAAGTCCAAAAGCAGGAAATAATGGTGGTGGAATTTTATCCTTAAAAAAATAAAATCATTTTAATCTTTAATAATTCATTAAAACCGAAAGAAACCAAAAACATACAGCTGGTGGATGTACAATATTATGTAAACGATTAACAACATAACCAAAAATGGGATTATCAATAGGTGGTACATGTGTAATAGCTGTTGCAGATTGACTACCCGCTGGTGGTTCCCAGTCACCAATCATATTTCGATATTCATTAAAATCTCCTTCATCTAATATTTTTAAACTTTCTTCTTGTAAAACAGTTTGTGCATGAAGTTTTTGTTCTTGTCGATCAATTTCATCTTGTTGAGCTTCTGATATACGTTGTTCATCATCAAAAAATGGTCTATCACCAACAAATAATGCATTCCATTCACGCCATACTTTAGCTGGTATTAAACTATAAACAAAAAAGTAGACATACAAAAATTCATATTTATTGTTGAGTTAAAATAAAATAAAATTACTTTTCAGTTAATTGTCGATATTCTCCAATTTTTAATGCAAAATCAACTAATTGCCATGTAATACGTGTACAAAATTCAACATGTTCTTTATGTTTAGCTTCAGCTTTTTCAGCTTGAAGAATATCATGTAATTCTTTATCTTTTCGTACTTGTTCAGCATATTCAAGTCGAGCTAAACGTGCTAATTCCTACAATAATTATTTCTTTTTAATATTGTTAAGTTTTGATATAAAAGATTTTTTTTTCTACCGCTTCTCGATCCATAGCTTCAATAAAATCTTGTTTTCGACGAACTTCAAGTTGTTTTTCATATGCAATACGATTTTGACGTAAAATATCTTTTTCATGTCTTGTTTGTAATAATTCAACAGCCAGACGTCGTTCAAATTGTGATTGACGAAGTAAATGACTAACAAGTGATTCTTCACGTTTTGAATCCTAGATTTTATTAGAAAAATATGATTTAATTGTTATTCATTAGATTAATTTAAGTTACTTCAATAGCTTCAAGTGCACGAAGTTGATCAACTAAAACTTTTCGACGTCGTTTTTCTCGTTCACGTCTTGCATGAATATCTTCTTGTAGACGTCGTCGAATTTCAAGTATATAAGGATCAACTTGTCCCGGTTGTAAAGGTTTTGTATAAGTGACTAATTCATATGATGTTGTTGTACAGATTTTACTAGTTTGATCTTTGTTTTCTTGTTCGTATGGAGATGATAATTCCATATCGGCAAGATTCATTGATTCTCTAGACATATAATTGACTAGAAATATCTTTACAAAAAAAAAACTTAATCATCTATACTTCAATTGAAGGTATTGAGCTTATTTTTTTATCCGTGATAGAGAGATTTTCCAATTTTTTCTTTTATACAAGAAACTCGTGAACGAACACTGCTATCAGTTGTCAGCATTCACTTCAATAGGTATTGTAACCGTTTACGAGTTCCGCAAAAAATAAATGCAGACTAGTTCATACATATTTTTAAGCGTTTTACATCGGATAATAACGAGAGAAGTCAAAATAACTTTTATTCAACAAGTCAAAATGATACATTCAGATAGAAATAGAAGAATGAGTCAATGCAAAAACTCAGCATAATGCCCATTAGCATCAATACTCTGTTGCAATCTTTCAGAGTATGGATGTCAGACAATAGACGACTTACGCACACCTATACCCCACAGCCACATGTAGAGATGAAATCGATTATTGACCACTGTGGCCTATTCACACTCATACCAGTACTAATCGTGAAAAATCCAGACTAGTTCCATCTCGGACAACATCCACTCAATACGCACCTATGCCATAGAACTGCATCCGCACTTGAAAAGAAACAGTAAAGACTTCAGTCTTGAAATCTAGAAGTTCTATGAAGCCTTTTGAAGTCTACTGCTCCTTCCTCGTACATGGCTCTCGATAACGAAGGGTTTAGGGGTACTAGCTCCTCCAACATTTTGTACTGTATCTGTGAAAATTTGAAATAACTGTTTGAAAAATGTCTGTCGAGTTGTGAAAGACAACTCTCTCTCTTCTCGACAGTCTACCAAATTTTAACTCCCTTCCTCTTTTGGAAGTCAAATGAGAACCATGGTTCAGTATTAGAAAACTGCACATGTGTTGTTATCGAGAGAGAAGAATAGCTAACCCTAACGATTCATAATATGAAAGAGACAATCGAGTATATGTGTTGGAAAAAGAATGCATGAGTAAATGAGCTTATTAATGCTATTTTACATCAGGGTAGCATGTTACACTGCCGTATAAAATTGAATGTCGATAATTGACAGCACTGTTTATCAACGATTTTCTTATGGAAATAAAAATCTTTGAACACCCCACTATCAGTGATAAAAATATCAGCTCAATATCTTTGAATCAAATGAAAATGTTCAATTTTTTTATTCTAAAATGTTTATGGCCGAACGTATATACAAGTTATTCTGACGTCATGTTTCTAAACTTGTATGGAATCAGCATAGCTATAAACGAGTTTCTACAATTCGTTTAATAAGATAAGGAAGTCTCAAGTTTTTTTTGTCACAGATCGCATTGTTATATTAAATTTTACTTCAAAAATTGTAACTACTTCAGTGAAATTTTTGTCTAACAAAAATGTTCAGTCAGTCATAGAAGATCTTTGACAATCACGAAACATGTATACTGTCAGCTTTTGATATGTTATGTTTGCATAGAATAATCGCTTCATCCTTAAGAATCATAGTGCCACTAATAAAAAACTCTCAAAGTATTAAACATAGGTGTTTTTCAGCTTATATTAGTCTAATTAAAACATTCCTCTGTTATGTTCTCAACTGATATAAGTTTTTCTTTCATACCCTTGAGTATTTTCATCAAAACCTTCATCATCATCAAATTCAGTATGTTGTAAAACACGTTTTTCAAATCGTCGAATATCATTCATTGTGTCCTAAGCATTAATCATGATCAATAAATCTCATAAACAAAAAAAGAAAATATCTAAAAATCCAACCTGCATTTCTACTTCTTTTTTTAATCTTCGTTTTTTTTCCAATGCTTGTTTAGAAAGAAGTGGTGGTGTTTTTGGAATCATTACTACACTTGCTCTAAACAAATAAATATGAAAAAAATATTATTTGTGTTTAAAATTCTTTTTAAAACAAATCATTCAATGAGCTAGAATAGCATGCAAAGCAATATAAATAAATAGACAATAGACCGAACAATATCGGTAATCATGCTGGATCAATATAGATATAAATAATGGAAGAAACATGCAGTACATGATAGAGAAATAACTTACGGCATTGGCTCGATTTCGAGCTCATAACCAAGATCTTGTTGCTGTGATCTAATGAAATTCTCACTCGAAATTTTTTTCAATCAAAATTTACAAGTCATTTGAAAATATTTTTATAAGGAAATATAATAGAATCAATGTCTTACTTAATCTTAGTCATCATTTCAGCATCTTTAGCTCGTTTTTCTTTTGAACGATTGAGTAAATATTGTCGTTTAGATTCTAAGTCTTGTCGTTTTTCTTCATCATCTTCATATCTATCAATATAGAAACTTGGTTTTTTTATTTCTTGAATCTTAATTTTATATATTTTACTTTTGTTTATTGATAATTTCATCTTGTCGTGCTTTAAATTCTTCATGTTTAGCAACAAGTTGTTGTAAACTAAGATCACATTGACGTGTTGTTTTTTTCTTAATTAACTAAAGATAAAGATATTCTAAAGATATATTTATTTATATTTACACAACAAAACACAAACATTTTGATATTGTTGTGTTTCAGCTTGTGCTAAAATTTTAGTTGCTGGTGCTTTCATTGTTTCCATAGCTGCGCCAGTTAAATTTCGTCTCTTTTTTCGATTTAAAGCTGTATACAGTTGATATAAAAGTTGCTGAACAGCACCTTTTTCCATAGTCATTATTTGTCGAGCACTATTTGTATTAAATGGAATTTCAAGTAAATGAAGAGTACGTTCAATTCGTGTAAAATTATTCAGTTGAGATACTGAATTTCTACAGAGAAAATACAAAAACAATTGAGAAAACAAAATAAAAAAGAAAAGAAATTTATTGAGTTCACTGACTTGCTTGTACTAAATTGAGGAAAATCTTCTTGTAGACCATATTTAGAAAGAATTTCACCGAACAGATAACCAGTGGCGAATTCACTAGATAGATTATTGCTTGACTCTGATAATAGAAATAATTTGAAAAAAAAAAAGAAAGTTAAATTTTACTCCGAAAAAATAATATACCGATTTTCTTCGACAGCTGAACATCATCGTTAAGCCAATCGATAAGAATATGAGCCATATTTTTTTAAGATGAATTGTCACTCAATCCAAAAAAATTGATTAGTGTAACATTAGTTAAAGACAACCATTTACTTTTACTTGTTAGTTTTTGTTACTTGGCAACACCATACTTTAGTATTAACTATGAAAAAAAAATCCCAAAACAATTTTTCGTGTCTAGTTAATGAAACTTAAAAATAAGAAAAGCAAATTAATTTGCGATTCCTTTTTTTTACTAAATCATTGGTATCTTGATTAATTGCGACATCTATCTTCTCTTGGTTGTCACAGTGGATATGATATTTGAATTCTAAAAAATATTTTTAACGATTTGTTTAGATAAGATATTTTAGTAACTATTTATCTGTCAATATAGATTTTCGTCTGTTGAACATTTATCATTCGGATGCTGTTGAATAATCATCTCGAACAAATAATAGTATGTGAGAACGAACGCCCAACATAACCGATCTAAAATGCTCACGCTATTCATCGAGTGTAATCTGGAATATCTACTCTATCCATCGGGACCGGTCGCCTTTCAACTACATCGTGACTAACTCCAAACCACTTATATTCGGTTCAAACTAGTCAGTAGAACAAAAAAAGCGAAAAAAAAAGAAAGAGAAGACGTATTCGGATATTTGATCCGATAGTAACAGGCAATTGAAAAATAATTAGACGGATATGTTCATTTAGTTTTTCAGCTTTTAAAGGAGTCTACATAATGTTGACGAAAATTAGATTAGAATCAGAATTTTATCTTCTTTCTAAATATGAATTCTAAATTTTGTAGGATTTCTGGTTTAGGACCTATCAACTGACATTTTAGGGGCATGAAAATGAAATTTGAACGGAGAAAATTGATATTTTTTGCTGCTACAGTTCCGTCTACTGCATACGTTGTATTACGGATTTTTTTCTATAGAATTAACGATAAAACAATACTCTATGTAGTGACAGAATAATCATTCAGGAATGCTTGAATTCATTTTGAAAGTCCATTTTTCAGAGAAATCGAGAAAATTGCCTAAATTGACTTGATGTTTCTTACTAAAACACTAGCTATTAACAAATGATTTAGAGCTAACTAATCATTAATATACCATTTAATTGAGTAATATATATACTTTCATTTGTTGTATTTAAAATAATTTTCGCTTCTACTGTGAGCGATTTCGATTATCTGAAATGATATCTTAAACTATTTAAAATAGTGGAGAAACTGAGCGATTACTGCTCTACATGATGAAAAACGATCGCCGTTTTTACATCAGAACCTAAATGACGCTGTTTACGATCGTTTCAATAAAAAACCGGTGCATAGCACTAGGACCATATTTTCATCGTGTATTGTCATATTTATACCGTTTTCTTGTACCGCATACGACTTATTTTCATTACTTAAATTGCACCTTGGGTAGCATCCTATTCATATTTTCTATTATAATATGAAATATTTCATTACATTAATATTATTCCTGCAGATAGGTTCATTATCATAAGTGACATCCAAGTTAAATGCATATGGAAAAGCGCACATACAGATGGAATAATCATGTTTTCTGTGTGTGAAAGTACCATGAAACAGCTTTTTTAGATAAAGTAGTTCGCTAATAAAAAAAAAACATAATTTCAAAGATATATTTTTTAACGACTACCTCACTACAGTTGTTTAGCGTCATTTTTAAAGGTTTATGAACTGTTGTTTTGATATGTGATGAGCAGCATTATTGTAACTTGAATAAACTTTGTACTAAGCATCTAATGCACAAAAAGATTAGATGCTATCATCTCTAGAACTTATCAATGTAAAAAATGATGAACGAGAAATATGTGAAGATGTGTACATGTATTCGATAACTTAATTTGAATGTTATATCAATCATCGTATGACAAGACATATAGACGGCTTTGTAGCGCCTACGTCATATTGTCGAATAAATCTCAACAAAACCTATTTATAAATGCTTAAATCAGTTCAAAAAAGTTAATTGACGTCTACTATTAACAAAAAAAAAAATTTTTAAGAAAAAAAGAGTAAAACGCAGTTCCATTTCAGCAAAATACTTTCGTGAAATATTAGAAATTGCTTCAACTAGAAATGGTAGATAAGATCATTAATACTTGCTAAATATCATGGGAATTAATTAAATGATGTTAATAAGATACTTTTTTTGATTGCATGTGAAAACTTCTTGAAAACGAGGTAACAGCAATGGTTGTTTTTTTGCTGGGATACAATCGATGATCATGGTAGATGTCATTTATCATTATATTTCTTCGTTTTAGACTGCATCGTACACGATCATCGGAACAAGTCTTTTTTTTACTGTTTTTGAATCCTTTAGCGCCTGTTACAGATAGTTCCAGATATGTTTTCAGATCAAGTAGTCTCTCAATTAGAATTTTTATATTTTTGGATTCAGTTTTCGATAAATGCTTCCAACCTAGATTAACATGAAGTTGAAAAACTTGTCTTTTTTCTTTAAGATGGCTTCTTCTATTGTTATTCTTTTAGTTGATTCTAACTACTATTTCTACTTCTTTGTCTGCAGTATATGTGTATTTTATTAACAAAAATGAATATGACTAGTGTGACTTTAGAGAAAAACCCAATCCAAAGCATCAATTGGAACATATGACCGTTTTTTTTCTTTCTTTTTCAATTGTGTTCTTGTTTAGTTCTGTGGAATCGTATACTGTATCGTTTTTTTTTTAAATTTGTATTACATGTTTTATTCATCTAAAATACAGTCAGCAGTCAATTTTCGAATAAAACTATCCATCATCATAAGTTAGTAAGAAAATCTTCTTAGCATAACATTAGAAATCGAGGTTAAGTATCAATTAAAAAAATAAACCATATTTCTTTGTTCAGATTTCTCTCAATATCATATCAATGGTAATTGTGAATTTATGACATGAAAACATACGTTTTTATTTAGATTCATCTCAATTAAATATTCAACAGTCAGTAGTAATTCGGATAAATATATTTATTTTGTTTTTATTCAGATTAATTTCAACAATAAGTTTTATGAATAGTTTTATTTTAAATAAATAAACAGTACCTCTTTTGTTTACGAGAAAAGCAGATAAGAGAAAATCGCTCCGTCTGCTATTCACTGAGGAGAAGCATGTTTGAATGCGATGACAAACGACATTCCAGACGACACGACGAGATACAGTCATAATTTACACCATAAATGACCGTTTACAACTGTCATAATTCTCACCCTGAGTATCCATGTTTTTATGTATTTGATCATATTCTGTGTATGGTTTAGCTTTCTATTAGGATATGTTTCGAGTACTTTTTAGAAGAGTAAATATTTCTAGGTTTTTATGCTGAAGTGTAACATTATATTGAAGCATATAGAAGTACATGAAAATAAAAAGTATGCTAATTACTCTCAACAAAACAATCCTATTTTTATTCTTCAAAATTGATTAGGCTGTAAAGTAAAAGAGAAATAATTTAGTTTAAAAATAAATGTACCATTTGATAATTTGTGTTTCATTTGAAGCACAAATTTTGAAGACTTCAATGTTAGAATCTGTAAATTACATAGTCTTAGTTTATTTGTAAGTTTGAATTTAGAAAAATTAAAATTGAAATAAATTTCAATCATAATATGAAAAAAAAATTGATTTTTTTTAAAAATTAGTATCGTTTTATGTTTAATTTTATTTCAATACAAAGTAGTTTCTCTTAAATTCCAGTGATTAGAAAATATTTTTAAATTAGTCTGATTCAAATTTATCGAAATAATTTTGTATGCTATGATACATATTTTTTATGCATATCGAAATCTGCAAAAAACATTGGAGTAAAATATATTAAATAACATCTTGAAATATTTATTGATATGTAAAAGTTGATCAATTGATCGTATAGTTTAATCAGCTAAACGATGCGTAGGTGGCATATTGTATGAACGTTCGAATCTAACCTTCTTAGTTATACTTTTATCAGTTAGAGTAGTTCCGTTGGGAACACAGTGCTGTGAATGCTCTTCCTTTTTCATTTAAAAACGCTTTTAGACGAACATCAGAACGCTATGACATGACTTATCTTTTCTTAAAAAGGTGAGACATAAGGAACAGCATGACCGCCGATAGTTAAATAGTCAGAACGTGAGCTGTGGAATACAAATGATTTTGAACTAGTCATCTACAAGAACTTTTCACAAAGAGTGGACAACACCTATCGTCTCAACTAGAAAAACGGCTAATTCTTCTAGGCGTTCTTTGCTTGCCTGAGAAGTTGCTTTTTATAAACGTATTGAGATAGAAAAAAAAAGAAATTAATTTTTAAGAGACGTGCTGATTCTGTAGAAATAAAATAGCGAGATCTTCAGTTATAAAGACTTAAGAGGGAAACGAATGACAAAAATTTAATCGACTCTTCATCATTAACCATTCTAATTTATATTTAGAATAAAACAAAAAAGAAATTCTGCTTTAAATTCATTAATATTCAACAACTCATAGTCTGTCAATAACATGTATTCCGATGAATCACATAATAATCATAAAAATATTAGATGTTCTCTAATCTTTTTAGATTAATATATTGATCGCTTAGGGTTTTGCTAAAATTTTTAATACTAATGATGTCGTAAGAACTGCTTGTAAATGATTTGAAACGGTGCAGGACGGATTTGATAATTCTCTGATTAAAAAAAGGTTTTCTTCTTGAACTTCATGTTTCTGTATAGGAAAAACAACGTTTCAAAGAATTTTCGATTCTACATTATCACATATAGTTTTATCGTTTTCTGTGTACATTCTTTTTTTCTTCAGTTAGCGACGACAGCAAAGAAACCCTTACGCTTTGGTGATGGAGGCTCAAAACTTCCGATGACTTTACTTTGCAAAATTTTCTTGATTTTGAAAGATTTTGAAATGGAATCGTTATTAGTAAAATACACTCAAACCATCGTTTAACTCGATTAGATTATCGATCGCACAAAAAAAACTTTTAATTCTCTGCACATGAGACCTATACCAAGTCATTTTCTTTAAAAACTCTTTGATAAAATAATTAAATATTATTTTGATGGATCTAATTGAAGATACTCCAAACCATTCTAATCCACGCCTAGAGTTTACATATAAAAATAATATTTTATTTTTTTATCAAAGAGCTTTTTAATAAATTAATTTGATGTGGAGTCTCATCATTGAAGAATCCGAAAGTCTATCGATCAATAATCTCTTCATACTAAACAATGATTAGAGTGGATTGGAGCGTATGTTCCTAATACTCAAATAGAATAGATAGAAAATGATGTTGGAGAACTGACTGATAGAAGCCAGATAACTGATGTAAAAAAAAAGAAAAATTCTGATTTTAATCAGATTATTCGATTTATAATTGGTTTGGATCACGATAGCCAAACAAAACGTTTCTCTCGAGTTCTAATGTAGAAACTCAAAATTTGAATAATTTTTCAGACTTCAAAATACAATAAATGGTACGTACAATACGAAACTAACCTTTGACACACATATCACCTTTCGATATACAATGTCATTTGATATATTTTAGTCATCTAAAAAAACACTGCCGACTAAATGGGTTAAAATCAATCATATTTTTATTGAGCAGATTAAAATTACGATTTCTTTGCCTTTTTTTCTCATGAAAATGTCATTGCCGAAGATTGATCTTAAATATGGGAGATCGAGTACTTATTTTTATTTTACGGAGGCGATGGTTCAGTCGATCGGCTTATGTTTTTAGGCATGGATATCGTTTTTGCATGTTTACCTCTGTGGAATAATTATTCTTCCGGTGACAAGAAGTTTCAGAATACCAAAAAAAACTATGCGTAGGATACCACACAGAGACTAATGGAAGCAGATAAATTAAGCCGTATATGGCAACAAAATACTATTAATAAGACAGTAAACAGTAAGAATAGGTCATAATATTCTTCATCATTTTTCGACGAAAACAGTCTCCCTTCCCTTACAGTAAACAATGTCTTTTAACACTGATGCTGGATTACGTGACAAAGAGAGACGAAAATGACGAGAAACATTTATCGATTTTTATCATTTACGACTAAGAACTGAGTCATTTTATAACTGTTTTCGACGGTTAGAATAATCATCGTAAGATATATTTAACTTGATAATATAATATGACTCAATCTATTGCATTTGAACGGTATTTTTCTGTATTAAAGTGATCAGACCATCGATTTTTTCTCTCAGTATATTGTGAATGTCACTATATGGAATTTATCGTTTGACTTTTCCAAATTTAGCAACATTTATATTTTTTTATTAAAAGTTTTGATATGAATAATAAGTAATTTGTCACATGAGAATTAATGATGATACTTAACTTCATAAATACATTTCTATCATTAACAAATATTTCTATTCAAAAATTTTCATTATTCTTTTTCTCAATCATTGTCGAATGAAAGTTCAAGTATCTTCATTTTTTCTTTTTATTTCTGTATCGCTTGACATACAACGGAAATATGAATCTTTTCTTTTTTCTTTCATATTTTTATCTTTGTTCATTTCTCTTAGCATACACATTCACATCAGCATACGCCACAGTCAACCATGTTAGCCCATATTTGCTTATGTATTATGTTAATGTCGATGATATCTCTTAAAACAGTCAATTCAATACCTGTTTCAGCAACAAATCTAGACACACAGAACAAGGAGTTATCCGATGCATTCATGCTTGAACAATACGGTATTGGTCCAAATCATTTTTTGACTGGTCGTCAATATGATGATGATCGCGTCGATGAAGATGAAATCCTTCCTGAAAAACGACATTATAAGAAAAAATGGGCAAAATTTTATCAAGGAGTTCAATCACCGTATACGATTGCTTTTCCTGCACTCATTCGTACTCGTAGATGGATCGAACAAGAACAGTAATATTACCATAAAAAAGAATATATATATATATATAAACTCAGTTTATTGTATCTGTCTGTTAATCAATAAATAAAATATCAATAAATAAAACTAAGAGACAATCGTTTTTTTTTCTTTTTAAGACCTCTCTCCACTCCTCAAAACCGATCATGGGTCAGTCATAAAATTTTCAGTCCAATACGGTGACGTTGTCGGAAGATATTCAACAAACAAGGATCAAAAATAGATTATTTGACAAGCCAATATTTTCTGCGGGTCTTTATTCCATATATTTAATTTTTTTTTGTTTGAAAGAACATTCTAAGATGCAAGGCATGATAGAATCTTCTTATTAAATTCTTACTTTTTAAGAAGATAAAAGGAATGAATAGTTCAATATCGCCAAAAACCTTCTTAAAAAAACGTTGCTCTATTTATAGAATTACTCTATAATATAACATCCACAAAGATTAATTCAACGGTTGGCCGTCATAATGTCGAAAGAAGGAAGAGGAAAAATATCGAAAGAAAAAATGTCGAAAGAAAAAAATATCGAAAGGAAAAATGTCGAAAAAATAATATTGACATGAAACATTGTCGGTTAATATTTTAGAGAATTGTAAATAATATAGTGCATGTTTTATTGCATAAAATTAAGTTGAAATCTTAACAGTGAGAAAAATATTAAAAAANATTCGGTCCCATGTCCTATTGGTTTGGCAACGCGCAATATAAATCAACATTTTAAATGGTAGATTTCACAGTATGATTTTGATATTCCGACAGTCTAGGATGATTGATTTGTATGATTCACTTTTTGAAGTACACATAACTCTCGGATTTAAATCCGAAGTTTCCGCATTTATTTTTCTTAAGTTTTGTTTTTGTTAATATTAAAGCTCAATTAACTTTTATGAACTAGTTGAAACATCGATGGATAGATTTTGTTTAGACCTAGTAAATGATATGATCTGCGCTGTACAAAAAGATCTCTATGCCTTGTCATACAATGATTGACATGATATTAATATTGAGTTATCGAATACATGTACGCATCTTCGCATGCTCCTCGTTCATCATCATTTTCTCATAGAGAAGTCCCATAGATGATGAAACTGACTTTTTTGTGTTCTAGATGCCAAGTAGAAAGTTTATCCAAGTTTCACTGATGTCGCTCACCACATATCAAAACAATAGCTCATAAACGTTGGAAAACGGCACAAAACGATCTTAGTAAGTAATTTGTTAAAAAGTACATTCTTGAAATTATAGATATTTTTTATTAGTGAATAATTTTATCAAACAAAGTGTTTAATTGTCCTTTCATGCACAGAAGACATGATTATTCCATGCGTTTGTATCGTTTTCCATACATCTACCTTGAATATCGTTTGTGATGATAAATCTGCATGCAGAAATGCTATTTATGTAATGAAACACTTCGTATTATAATAGGAAAGTATAATAGGATGCTATCTAAGGTGCAATTTGAGTAATGAAAATTAGTTGTATGCGGCAAAGAAAACGGTATAAATATGTCAATACACGATGAAAATATGATCCTAGTGCTATGCATCGTTATTTGACTGAAACGATCCTAAATGGTGCCATTCGGTTTCTGATTAAGGTGTCGTTTCAAACACTCGGAATAATTGACCTCGTATGACGAATGAAGATGCACAAGAGAGTCTTGTAAAGATATACTTACTTCTAAGAAATAATCAGTTCCTTATTTATTACTAATATCTCTAAATAGGTAGCTATTTTATTTGCAGTGCCATTTAATAAATATTTGTAGCTATTTAAAAAACAATTAGCGCATTGTTTGTTGTCAATCTCTTTGAGTAAAGAGCTGTTTTATTTACGGTACGATGTCAACGTCACCAGCACTGTTTAGGGCTTCTCAAAAATCGATCTTGAGCCAGATACTTTCAAATTAGGGGTGTCGGCTTAGCATTAGTGTTAAGAAAACGCTAACACTTTTGCATTAAAATTAAAAAAATCACTTAATGCTTTTGCATTAGTGTTAAAAAAATAACTTAATGCTTTGGTATTAGTATTAGAAAAGTATTAACTTAACGGTAATGCTTATAGTTCCCAAAAACAGAACAAAATTGTTCCCTCATGGTAATTTTTTCCCATAACAGAACAATTTCGTTCTTTTTGTTGGGAACGGCTTACCATAACAGAACAAAATTGTTCTGTTTTGGGAAAAAAATTCTCATGAGCAACCAATTTTGTTCTGTTCTTGAGAACCCTAAGCATTACCATTAGATAAATACTTTTCTAATACTAATACCAAAGCATTAAATTATTTTTGTAACACTGATGCAAAAGCATTAAATTAATTTTTTAACTCTAATACAAAAGCATTAAAAATAGTATTAATTAATGCAATGCTAATGCTAATCTGACACCCCTAATTCAAATCGCATAAAATTTTCACGATATGTGGGGGCTGTAGTGGATAGACTATGATAAAATTTTCAGTCCTATACCCCCAGGCAGACAAGCAACGAAAAATAAAGCGTAAAAGTCGCACATTTCTACGCTCTTTTACGCGTTATTTTTCGTTGCTTGTCTGACCGGGCTTGTTTACCTTCGTGTGTTATTTTTAGCATTGTTCAAAAGAATATCTTTGTTCAATTAATGCAAAGACAGAAACCACTAATTATATTGAATAATGTTGTTAATCGTTATTCAGTCATTGTTGTTAAATACATTTACAAGTTTTGCTAACGTTTCAATCATTAATCGAGATTTGAAATTTTTTTCATTTCTTTTTATGAGTCTTTTTCTGAATGATGCAAGATTATTATATTGTTTTGGATAGAAAATCAATGAAAAAATAATTTTCGACTTGAAAGATGATAAGTAATTCATTTGACTGTATATATGAGATGAGAAAATAAGTAAAACAATTCGACTACCACTATTTGTATGACTAAGATAAATGAGAATCCTTTAAAACCCATGAAAATACTTGATAAGGGAATCACCCGAACTGATAATCGCCATTTGAGCTCGTATTGGGCTCACAAGGACGTCTCAATAAGATGAGAAAAAGTCTACAAGAGTTTGTCCGCAAAGGTTTTTGGAGCTGAATTATGATCATTTTACTGAATTTTTGACCTGTCTTGAAATAGATAACGAAAAATCCAAACTCAATATTTCGACGTACCACACTCACACACCCACACCCAACAACTTTGATAGCAGCTAACATTATAACTAAACTAATATTTGATCTTAACTGTAAAGTATTATCCACATTATTATCTCATGTGGCACATTAACACTATTTTTTCTTTTTCTCATGAACTACAACTTTTCCGACGATGATATTTTCAATGATGGTTGATCATAATGAATTGATAAAATGACCAAAGTTTGATCACAAACTCTAGTACCATAAGTCAAACAAAATGAAAAAGTTCTCGTGATATTTAGCGTAACAATCAAATTTTCAAGTTTTATTTCATAGTTTTTCTAAATAAGAAATAAATAAATAGAATGTTTTCTTCTGATTTCAATGAAATTATATTTCACTCACTGACTTTCATTCAGCAATACGTTGATCGTTTTTATTTAAATTGTTTAACATTAGCTTTATTTTTAATCGCGCATAAAAGAACATCGAATAATGATAAAAATGTCAATCAGTCTTATAATCAAAAACTGACGACTATTTTTCTCTAAGTCTAAGAACTTTCAAAATATAAATGAGAAAAAATAAATCAATTATGCGATATGGTTTAACAATAGACGACAGCAGAAACTGATCTTTTAGACTTTATCTTCTCGGAATTTATCTAGAATAAATCCTAGCTTGTTTTTGAGTAGTAATGAAGAGTTACTAGAGGAACCTAACGTAAAAAAAATCATAAAAATTGATTGAACACAACTCAAGATATTGAACATCAATTCAGTCATATATTATTCATTGCTCGAAAAGTTATGATGGTATCTCAAATTTTATGAAACTGAATCTTTATCATTCAGTTGCAATAGGTCACAAATAAAGAAAAGAGTATCGAATTATATATTGATATGTTAACTTATTAACTAATGTTTAATAAAAATTCAATCAATCATCAAATCAAATCTGAATCATATTTTCAAATTACTTTATATTAAAGCTGGATGAAAAATGATAATTATATAGTTCGCGAGCCTAGATGACGAAATTAGAAAATTCAATTAGCTGATCTAGTGTTGGATAAAACACTAACTTTATTTTTTACACTATTTTATGAACAAAATCAAGATCATTATCTTTCTATATACATCCCAAGAAAAAATTGAAAATCTTGTTCAAAGGTAAAAATAATTCTAACATATAAGAAGAAATATTTAAAATTCAATCAAGTGTATTTTATGTTGATTCAATTAAAGATTTTTATCGAATTGATAATCAACAAACCAATTTTAAATAATGAAAATGCATTGACTAAGTATGTGTGCATATTTCATTCTATACATTTTATTTTTCTTGTCTTTTTTTGAAAAACATGAAAACGACAATATTCAGCAAAGAAAAAAACTCGACATGTTTCAAAGACAATTTTCCTAATTTTCATTTAACAGTGATGAAGATAATCAGAAAAAAAAAATGTCTATATGTATTAAATCTTTAATATTTTAATGAAATGACATATCTTGATCATAATATTGATTTGCTTGTTCACAAAGTCGATCAATAGAACGTAATTGAGTTCGTGTAAATGATTTAGATTGCATATGTGCAAATTCAGCAAGATGAGTTAAATCAATAGAAGCTGTATGACGATAAAATTCATATTGATGTTTTTCTTCTTCATTTAAACTTGAACTTGTTCCATTTTGTATAACTAATAAATGAGTGCGAAGTGCAGCTAAACAAAGATGAGGAAATAATTGTTGAAGCTAAAATAATAAAAAACAAATCAATCAAATTAAATTTAAAAAAAGAAAAATTTTCTTTTATTCGTTAAAAATGTTTTACCCATTTATTTGATGCAAATAATTGTCTAGCTTGTTCA